AGATCGGAAGAGCACACGTCTGAACTCCAGTCACCTACCAGGATCTCGTATGCCGTCTTCAGCCAAAAAAAAAAAAAAAAAAAAAGCACACAACCAGGTACTAGAAAATGAGCTGAGAGTTACCCTGGAGCTAGGATACAATTTCTGTCACATAACTATCAATTCTATTTAGCTATTATCATCTTTATTATTGTTATAATAAAACAGTAGTCTCAGTTAAATTAGTGCAGATATACAATTATAATATCAGTGGATTCTCATGAATAAAAGCTAGCTAGAATTTGCTAAAAGTGTCCCAAACTTATTTCTTGGTTTCAATGATTCTGATGCATGTAATTATACATGTCTGCCCCCAAAAGCCTTTGAATAAGTAAAATAGCCCTCAGCATTAACTTCTTTTATGTGCTGTTGAAAGCATTCATCTGTGAGCAAAAGAAAAAGTTTTTATTGCTGTCCACAAGCTTCCAGTTCATAAATCATTGAGAAGCATAATGTAAGAAGATAAATATGATAAGACAAAAAGTTTCAGAAGAAACCAAAAAAAAGCAATGTGACAAATATAAATGGTAGAAAATGAAGCATATTAAATGGAATTTACCATTCCTTGTTCGAAAGGAAAAACTGAAAATGATCACATACCAAACATTTTCCTAGGCGTAAAATTAATATATACTTCTTTATATAATTTAGTTTATTCTTCAGAAATTCTCTGAAAAATTTACCCACTTTATTTGCTCCTTTTCTCTATTCCTTGATGACTGGAATTCTTGTAATTTCTTTTCCATCTTTTGGTTCTCCAATTCTAATTGTAATTTTTCCATTCGCAGTTCTTGAACATTTCTGAATGTGTGAGATTTAAATGTAGAGTGTTTATTAGAAGCAAACAAACAAATAGAGCCTAAAACAAAATAACTTCACATAATTTTTTGCTCTTAGATTAAAATTATCAATAGCTAAATAATGAACTGTTTAAACTACTCCTTTGTATTTCTTTAAATATGGTTATAAAGTTAGCATTTGCATTTTATTAATATTCCCTTCAATCCATGTATCCCTTCAAATCTTACAAACTGTTTTTCCTATTCCATTGCTATGGGTTTAAAATCATAATTCATTTTATGTATGAGCCACATCTTTATATATGCAAATATCTATTACACAAAAACTAGAAAATTATTTTCCAATTTCTGTACTGTCTGGCATTGACTCTTTCTCAGATAGAAGCTAACTTAATTATTTAGCTTTTATTACCTATCATTAGTTTAAATATTTTTCTTCATTATTATCTTAGTGTTCTATCATAACCGTGTAGCATGAACACCCATAAACACCGTGACATGGAACCAAACTAAGCACCTCTAATCTTGAATGCTCAGGCAGAAAGATCACAAGTTCAATCATAGTCCATCCCAAAACAAACAAAATAAATAAAAAGGGTCTGGGTTGTAGTTCTGTAAGAAGATCCTAAATTCAATCTTGAGTAACACACACTAACATACACACACACACACACACACACACACACACACACTCAAAGGGGATAAGAAAAGGGAACTAAGTTATAAAAGTTGCAAGCCATCAAAAACACCAAGTGAACTAAGTTTATGTTTGTAAATCTATACAAAACAGAGATAGTTCAAAAGGGATAGGAGGCAAAGGTGGTCCAGAGGGTTCAGATAACCAGGCCATGATACAAAGAGAGAGTCATTACTTTTATTATGTAGTCTTCAAAAAGAGAAATTCATCTCTTACTACCCACAACCACTGTGAATGTGATAGGAGATGGGACATGATAAATCTTCCAGTACAGAAAGGAATACAGACAAGCATGGAGCCATTGAAACACAGAATTATGGTGCTACCATTAGAGAGAAACAAGGCTACCCAGATACACAGAAAGGGCACATGCTTCAGCCCTGAGACTCCAGGAACAATTCCTAGAGTAAGCAAAGTCTGACCTGAGACTTGAAGGATAAAAGGACTGAGCCAGCCAAAGGGACATGAAAAGCGTATCTTTAAACATAAGAGCTAGAAAGGCAGGCAAGGCCAGTGAGGAAAGCTAAGGCTAATTCTGGAGAGACCACATCAGCACAACAAATACAAGAGCTGAAAATAAGATTGAAATGAGTTGGAGCCTGGAAAGAGGTAGAAAGGAGTGGGAAAACATTAAAATGTTGGACAATCTGTGGATAATTCTGAAGACAATGTCAAATGAAAAAAGCTTGGGAAATGAAAATGGTGACAAACAGAACTCCATAGAAATTAGAATAGCACTGATGCTCCTATCTTGATTTCTGTGGGCTTGTGGATCATGGATGACCAGGAAGATTTTTAGGCTAGGAGCTGGTATCACTCTCCCCAAGTTAGATCTTGCCTTTCTCTCTAACTTGGTTCTATAAATGTTAGCCAACTGGATATGTCTAACAGGTCCCCAAACTATGTAATATGTGTGCCTTTACAAAAGTTTCATCCAAGAACTATCCAATTGCATTTCTCTGATAAAACTTGGATACATCATCACTCTTGCCCAAGTGGTTTGAAATATGTTGTCTTAGACCTATGTGTCTACACATCACACCTTGCTTCAAATTATCTTGTCAGTGTAATTAAACTTCTTCACATACTCTGCAACTTTCCTGAAGGCAGACTGGACATCCTTCTATTATATCCACTACTCCCTAATGCAGTGTGTAGAACATGTATACTTAATGTTTTTGAATGTGTATTTATAGGTATAGATATATTGAGTTTTGACATATCATTGAATTAAACAATGCATGTCCCGTGTCCCATTCTCTTTTGGTAAAAAACAAAATGATAGTGCTAGCACTTACATAGGTCCCTTTTTGACAAAAAAAAAAAAAAATGGTACACCTAATAATGACAATGTCATCTATTTGCTTAACACTTTCCAATTCTCAAAATGCCTTTTTTTTTTTGACCTTTGAGAGAGAATCTCACTATGTAGTTCAGGATGGCCTCAAACTCTAGGCAACCCTGCTTCAGCCTCTTAAGTTTTGGAATTACAAATGGTCACAACCACAACCAGTTAAACAATGCTTTTATACTTAATTATGCTTAATAGTGAAGACAGCATTATGAAAACACCAAAGACATTAAATGAACACATGACTATTGATCAGGACTACTGACCTGCATCAAGGAACTTAAAAACTAAAATTAAAATTGATTATACATTTTGGTCTTCATTTACACTTTCAGTTTCTCACACCAGAGAAACTATTCAGTATTTACACGTGTGTCCTATTTATTTCACTTAAGAGTGTGACCTCAATGTGTATCCTTTTAGC